CGCACGGTCTGGTTCCCGCGGGCCGCGGTAGGGCCGGGCGGCACCGGGAATCTCCGGCCCCACCGGCCCGGGCCCGGGCCCCGGCCTGGGGGCGCCCCGCGCCTCCCGAGAGCGGCGTCCAGCCGGAGCCGTGTGCTGCCGGTGCGGCGTGAGGATGAGCCTCGGCCTCGGGAGCAGGGGCCGCACGCAGGCACTGGCGCTGTATCGAAGTAAAATGATAAAAACATACCGACTTGGGCTGGTTGCCGACTCTTTTCTCTAACAATAAGCACATAGCACAAATTACGTTTAGTCTGACTGCAGGCAGTGCCTACTTCTTTTCAGGTCTAGGTTCTCATGCAACACTAATGTGTGCCATCATAGCCCATTCCTGCACCAAGTGCTAAAGCTGTTTTGTAGTGTGGAGCCACCATGGTGCCAAAAAACCTTAGAAGTGTTATCAGCTTATCACCTGAGATCACCCCCAAAGCCTAAGTCAAACTTGTCCTGATTTTTATCTTATTTCTGCTTTGGACAAAGCTGCTTGTAGAAACGCTGCGTTGCACTGCTCTGTTACACAGAACAGGTTTAAAACATCTGTCTTGTAAATGCCGCAGGGGGTTACTAGCAAGATCCTAGTCAGAGCTCAGTTTTTATTTTCGAGTGGAAAATGCTTAAGTTTGGGTGAGAGACCTGTAACCAATTATTACAGATTCAAAATACGTTTGCCTTTGGAATGCTCAGAGAAGAAACTGTGCTAATCTCATGACAAAATTAACCTAGAATTTGTAATCCGTGGCTTCAAGCATTAATTCATGATAACTCAGGTTCTCACAATGTTCCATTAGACTTGTGCAAGAAAACAGCTTTTGTAAACATTTCTCTTTATAGAAACAATTTCCTATGAGCTGCTGATGAGCAGTGGAAATCCAGATATATTGTTCAACATACATACTGCTTTGCCTCTGCCTTACGTAATTTCACTAATTGTCCTTGAGCAACCATTCTTCATGCCTGTAGGAACTTTGTAAGTCAAGTCTGATCATCATTCCTTATTTTTACCCATCATTTTCTTGTCTATCTGGATCCAGCAGCTGTCAGTCGTCTTAGACAATAAACTTCCAGGGATAAGGAACCGTCTATTTGCTCCCTCTTTGTACCAAGTAGCATGAAAACATCTTCTTTATAAGCAGCCTAGATTCTGTCACAATACAAAAAATAATAAATATCAGTATAACTGGTAAGCATCACTTTTAGTCATGAAACACCTATTTCACAGTTTTTCAGATCTGAAATACTTGATGCCTCCTGTTCAGTTCTGAAGGCATTTTCTCAATAAGCTGATGCCAGATAAACTCACTGGAGAAAAATCCTGAGATTTCTGAGAAAGTTGTCATGGCATGGAGGAAAGTAATGCTATGATGTCTGGCTCATTCCTTAATGAATCACAGATAAATTGTAACCCCTACAGAACCTGAAGAGTGGTGATTTGACGTGCAGAAGGTAGGTGTCATCACCGCTGTCATCTCTGAGAGGGGGCCTTGGAGTCCTGGCCCTCTCAGTTCCCTGCTCGTCCTGTTTACTACATCCTGCACTCTTGACATGTCAATGCTACACTGTTCTGCAATGTCAAAAAATATTTAAATCATCGCTGTAAATTTCAGTGCTGTATTTGGTCTTGTCACCACTTACCAAGTACAATTTTCAATAGTAGTCATTTATTCCACAAAACAGATCGGGGTGGGGGTGGGGGGTGGCATTGAACAATGACTTTCAAGTCTATATTTTATAATTAGAAATGTCAGTACCAAAGAGCTATGGCATCTTTGGACTTGTGTATTTTGAAGGAGAGGAATGAAAAATCCAAGGGGAAGGCTGGACTTAACATACTCATTTTACTATCTCTCCCCTCTTCTCAACAACTGTACTAAGTTGCAGGCAATTGAAATGACACGTAGAAGTACAGTAGAGATGTGGGAAATCTTGACTGTAAGATAAATAATTTATTAGTAATGTCATGGAAGTGCCATTGAGAGCTAGAAAGCAGTGCCATTTGGGGATATTTCCTTGGCTTATTAGCTCTTTCAATACCATTGCATTTTGTAGCTTTGGCTTCAGGAACAGTGCTGCTTTGAAAAAAAGCCAACAAAATCTAAACAGTGGAGAAGGCTCTAGTGGGTTTTGTGCTCTCTGAATAGCAGAGAAACGTGTATTCAGCTTCAAGCTCTGCCATCAACTTCCTGCATCACCTCAGGCATATCTTTCTTTTTGACCTATAACTGCTTTGATTGCTTAGCTCAAGCTATTATGTAACTAATATTCAGAGGAAAGATGGAGAATTCCCAGAGCTGACAACTAAAGCTTTGTAAATTTTGAGCACAAGGCCAAGGAGGTATACATGAAACTGGAAATTGAAAATAAATGCACTTTATGGAGACTAAAAAGTTATGAGATAATCAGCAGAGCAAGGCTACACCCTGAAGGACATATCTGCTGTTTTTTTTTCCCTCCTATTTCGTTCGTCTTCTTTTGAGAGCCATTTGTTTATTGCATGGTCACACTGATCTGAGAAGCTTTCTAATCAATTTTTGGACTTCAGTTGTACTGATGTAATGAGAAATGCTAACTCTGATTACTGATAAGACATTGACTACGGGGCAATGATTATCACTTCTACATCAACATGTTCACCCTTGAGCCACTTTTCCCTGGTGATACTTAATCTGACATTTTAGCTCTCTATTACTATGTCCTCATGTCTTCACTCACAGATCTACATCCAGTTTTTCTTCTACAAAACCGTGACTTGCTTTATTTGGACTTTATTGGGTGCTTCTCTTTCTCTGAGGAAATAGACTATCACAGCTACCTATTTGCTTCTGTAGAAAAAACAAAGTTAAAATACAGCATGATTCTATCATTAACCTTTTCCACATTTGCTTCTCAGTCTGCTGTCATACAAATGTTGACTTCATCCTTTCTCTTCCTTCCTCTCTCATTATCCCCTCCCTTCTTATCATGTGTGTCTACTTCATCCTGCCTTCTTTATTCCCTTCTATTTCTCAAAGTCCTTCAGTTTCCTCTCAAATAAATGTACTAGCCATAGACCTTTCCCATCATGAAAACACCAGTTGGATTCCCTTCCTTTAACTTCCATCTTCCACTTCATCTGTTTTATTACTGTCATCTCTAACCTCTCCCAACATGCTGTCCAAAACTGCTCTAGTTACATCTACATCTCATTCAGTATGGCTCATTCCTTCCTCTATCAGCTGGGGCTGTTCATGTTGATACCATGTTGATACCATGTTAACATAAAGGACTGTGATTCGTCATTGTCTCTTTGATGGACTGATGGACTGCTTCTGAAGCTCCCATTCCTCTTTTCCTCAATTCCTTTTAAAACTCTCATTCCTCTTCCCAAATCCAGTAAAAACTTGCCAAACACAATAGAAAACCCATACCTTCCTTTTAAAAAAACCCTCCTTTCCCAGTTCTTCACTTCTGCTTCTTGAATCTTTGGTGCTGAACCCTCATTTTCTGCTGCTGAAAGTGTGCTAGGCTTCCATCTGTGTTTTTTCCTCTTGACTCTCTAGACATTGTCCCTGGCCACCCTTATTAACAAATATGACTTTGAATACTATCCTTAACTCATGGTTTTCTTTGTCTTTTGTCTCTTTTTATTCCACTTGGTGTCGAGTTCTTACTGCATGTAGCATAGCAGCTCCTAGGCCTAACAGTCCTCATCTGACTCTATGACCTAAAGTTGTGTCCTGACAATTATTCTTGTCTCTTGCTGTGATCCCTGCACTTTTTTTATTCAAAGTGCTGTGTGAAGGGACCTTTCTCTGGTTTATCATTTTTACTGTGTTCCCTCACTTCTTAATCCTCTGGTGTTACATTTCCTCTTTTTCTCAATCGAAGACAATTTTCTTCTCAGCCCTGGAAGGTCTTTGCAGCATAATCTTCCTTCGTACTGGCTTATCCTATCACCATGTCAGGAGGTTAACTTCTACCTTTCTTTTGTCACCCCTGGCAGATTCTTTTTGATCCCTCCGAGAAGCAAAAGTTACTTCTTTCTGAGAGCACAGAAAGGCTTACAGAAAGAATTATGCCACTTTTTGATGGAAAATTCTTTCCTTTGGTACCACATGCTTCCTGCTGTCCTTTATACAGACATGAAAATAAAGGATTAAATCACCCAGTGATTCTTTTTCCCTCAGTCCTTTGCTCCTTTAGCCTGGCAGGGGATCTCCTCTGCCTGCTGGAACCTCTTTAATTTCTCTTGCCAGCACTTCAGAGATGTCTCTGTGCAGTGCTGTCTGGAGCGGAGAGGCATGTAGGCAGCTGCCAGCCCTGCAGAAAAAAGCTCTAGAGTCGGTGCTGGCAGGAGGGGGGAGCAGTGAAGCTGCAGGAGTGGGTGCAGCGCATGCCAGCCAGAGTTAAACAACCACTGATTGCCATCCCTGCTGAACTCTGCAGGCGAATGTGAGAGCTACCCATCCATAATGGCAAATCCGGGGATTCCCTGCGATTATTGAGAGTGCTGTCATGCTTTTTCTGGATTATGAGGAGCAGGCTCCTGGGGTTTCCATAGAAGCATAACAAAGTAAAGGCAGATATCAACAGGAATGATGCATCCAAACTCCCTCCAGCTTTGAGGAAGTAAAATCTGAATCAGTCTTCTTGATTTCAGTCTTTGTACTGATATAAGCTATTGAGATGTACTCACATTATTCATCAGTGTTTCCACAGGTAGGTTGAATATTGAGTATTGCTTGTCTGGTTCTTTTTGAGAAAAAAAAAATCATACAATATTAATAAGGAAAATGTATACAGCCCAAGCAGTTCAGCTTCAGAGGGCCTAAAAATACCACCTTCATCAGTATTGAATGGTAAGCAAAAGAAGATACTATACAACACAAGAATGACAGAATGAGATTTAAA